GTTAGACTCCTATGAAGGGCTACATTTGGCCTATTAGTTATTTCATTCCAGTTTCTGGTTTGTCCCGACCCCAACCAGGGAGAAGTATTAATAATAATAAAATCCTGGCATTCGATACAGTGCCTTATTACGTCGTTGAGACGTCTCAAAGCGCTTCACAGGTACCAAAAGCAGAGACAAAGGGAGTTGAGGATTTAGGAGAAATCTATAGGAGGGTTACGATGGCAGGGAGAGAGAGGACGTGGGGTAAGAGAATTGGGAAGGTGGTTTCAGAGGGCAGGAGTGTTGTGGCTGAAGGCACGGCCTCTGATGGTGGGACAGAGGGGTGTAGTGAGGAACAGTTAAATGCTCTGCTTGATGCCAAATTTCCTGCTTTTGCCACATTTCCTTTAACCTTCAAATGTTTACCTTTATTTCTATAAAAAGTTAATGTCACTCCACTAATGACAGTGTGAGTTCCTGTGTTTGTAGGCAAAATGCAGGGGAAACGGGCTAATTTGGTACATATACTGCGTCAACCTTCATCCTCTATAATTATGTCCGTGTTAGAATATTCCCTGTAAATCTCTCAGGCTGTGCAATCTCCGGGCTGTTTTTAACTGCGGTTTGTGTCTGCTTATCGAGAGCGGAGGCAAACATTATACATTCCGCTGTGTAATCTCCTGTCATCTCCAACGTCCCCAACCAGGGAGATGCTCAGCACGGGCAAGAGTTCAGAGAATCCTCACAATGTTCCTGCCATTTGTAAACTCAACACTGAGTATTGGTTTAGTGTCCTATGTTGCAGTGGTTAACGACTCAATCGCAAACGAGAGGACCCAGGTACGATTCCCGGGCGGGTCAAAACCTCAGGCAAGTTCCCTTACTCCACACTCCTGTTTCCCTAGCAGTAACAATAATAATAATCCTTGCATTTGACATAGCACCTAATTACATCATTGAGACGTCTCAAAGCCCTTCAAAGAATATACTGTAAAGTGGAGTGACTGTTTATTTTGTGGGTGAAATGCAACAGCCAATTGCACACAGCAGCGTCCCACAAACAGGCGTAGATTGAAAATGACCAATTTATTATTGTTTTTGGTTTTGGAGGGATTATTATTAGGCTCTGTGTGGAGTAAGGAAACTTGCCCAAGGTTTAGCCCTCTGCCTGGGAATTGAACTCAGGTCTCTCACTTGCAAAGCGAGTGCTCTAACCACTGAGCTACAGGACTCCACTCTGTTACGCACACATTATGTTACACACTTTTTCTCACACACATAGTGTTACTCACACACACACTGTTACACACTGTGTTACACACTCACACACTGCGCTACACACTCGCACACTGTTACACACTCGCACAGTATTACATACTTACACACACTCACAGTGTTACACACTTACACACCCTCACACACAGCGTTACACACCAACACACATCACTGGGCGTGAGGGGGTGTTGCTGTGTGTGAGGGGAGGATTGTGTGTGAGGGGGTGTGGCTGTGGGGGTGTGGCTGTGAGGGGGTGTGGCTGTGAGGGGGTGTGGCTGTGGGGGGTGTGGCTGTGAGGGGGTGTGGCTGTGGGGTGTGTGGGCTGTGGGGGGGGTGTGGCTGTGGGGGGTGTGTGGCTTGTGTGGCTTGGTGAGGGTGTGTGGCTGTGAGGCTGTGAGGGGTGTGGCTGTGGGGGTGGTGTGGCTGTGAGGGTGTGTGGCTGTGGTGTGGCTGTGGGGGTGTGGCTGTGAGGGGGTGTGGCTGTGGGGTGGTGGTGTGGCTGTGGGGTTGTGGATGGGGTGTGACTGTGAGGGGGTGTGGCTGTGGGGGAGTGTGTGGCTGTGGGGTGTGTGGCTGTGGAGGGTGTGGCTGTGGGGGTGTGGCTGTGAGGGGGTGTGGCTGTGAGGGGGTGTGGCTGTGGGGGTGTGTGGCTGTGAGGGTGTGTGGCTGTGAGGGTGTGGCTGTGGGGGTGTGTGGCTGTGAGGGTGTGTGGCTGTGGGGGTGTGGCTGTGAGGGGGTGTGGCTGTGAGGGGGTGTGGCTGTGGGGGTGTGTGGCTGTGGGGGGGTGTGGCTGTGTGAGGGGGTGTGGCTATTGGGGTGTGTGGCTGTGGGGGTGTGGCTGTGAGGGGGTGTGGCTGTGAGGGGGTGTGGCTGTGGGGGTGTGTGGCTGTGAGGGGGTGTGGCTGTGGGGGTGTGGCTGTGAGGGGGTGTGGCTGTGGGGGTGTGTGGCTGTGGGGTTGTGGCTATGGGGGTGTGGCTGTGAGGGGGTGTGGCTGTGGGGGTGTGTGGCTGTGAGGGGGTGTGGCTGTGAGGGGGTGTGGCTGTGAGGGGGTGTGGCCTGGCTGTGAGGGGGTGTGGCTGTGGGGGTGTGGCTGTGGGGGTTTTTGACTATGGGGGTGTGTGGCTGTGAGGGGGTGTGGCTGTGGGGGTGTAGGGTGTGGCTGTGAGGGGGTGTGGCTGTGGGGTGTGGCTGTGTGGGGGTGTGGCTGTGGGGGTGTGGCTGTGGGGGTGTGGCTGTGGGGGTGTGTGGCTGTGAGTGGGTGTGGCTGTGGGGGTGTGGCTGTGGGGGTGTGGCTATGGGGGGGTGTGGCTGTGAGGGGTGTGGCTGTGGGGGTGTGTGGCTGTGAGGGGTGTGGCTATGGGGGGGGTGTGGCTGTGAGGGGTGTGGCTGTGGGGGTGTGTGGCTATGGGGGTGTGTGGCTGTGGGGGTGTAGCTGTGGGGGTGTGGCTGTGGGGGTGTGTGGCTGTGAGGGGTGTGGCTATGGGGGGGTGTGGCTGTGAGGGGTGTGGCTGGTGTAGGATGGTGTGGCTGTGAGGGGTGTGGCTGTGGGGGGGTGTGGCTGTGAGGGTGTGTGGCTGTGGGGGGTGTGTAGCTGTGGGGGTGTGGCTGTGAGGGGTGTGGCTGTGGGGGTGTGGCTGTGGGGGTGTGGCTGTGAGGGTGTGGCTGTGGGGGGGTGTGGCTGTGAGGGGTGTGGCTGTGAAGGGGTGTGGCTGTGTGAGGGGGTGTGGCTATGGGGGTGTGTGGCTGTGGGGGTGTGGCTGTGAGGGGTGTGTGGCTGTGGGGGGGGCGTGGCTGTGAGGGGTGTGGCTGTGGGGGTGTGGCTGTGAGGGGTGTGGCTGTGAGGTTGTGTGGCTGTGAGTGGGTGTGGCTGTGTGAGGGGGTGTGGCTATGTGGGGGTGTGGCTGTGAGGGGTGTGACTGTGGGGGTGTGGCTGTGTGAGGGGGTGTGGCTGTGGGGGGTGTGGCTGTGTGAGTGTGGCTGTGGGGGTGTGGCTGTGGGGGGTGGTGGCTGTGGGGGGGGGTGGCTGTGGGGGGGTGTGGCTGTGAGGGGTGTGTGGCTGTGAGGGGTGTAGCAGTGAGGGTGTAGCTGTGGGGGTGTGGCTGTGGGTGTGTGGCTGTGGGGGTGTGTGGCTGTGGGGGGTGTGTGGCTGTGAGGGGGTGTGGCTGTGGGGCTGTGGCTGTGGGGGTGTGTGGCTGTGGGGGGTGTGTGGCTGTGAGGGGGTGTGGCTGTGGGGCTGTGGCTGTGGGGGTGTGTGGCTGTGGGGGGTGTGTGGCTGTGAGGGGGTGTGGCTGTGGGGCTGTGGCTGTGGGGGTGTGGCTATGAGTGGGTGTGGCTGTGAGTGGGTGTGGCTGTGGGGGTGTGGCTGTGGGGTGTGTGGCTGTGAAGGGGTGTGGCTGTGGGGGTGTGGCTATGGGGGTGTGTGGCTGTGAGGGTGTGGCTATGGGGGTGGGGCTGTGGGGGTGTGGCTGTGTGAGGGTGTGTGGCTGTGGGGTGTGTGGCTGTGAGGGGGTGTGGCTGTGAGGGGGTGTGGCTATGAGTTGGTGTGGCTACGAGGGGTGTGGCTATTGGGGGTGTGGCTATGGGGGTGTGTGGCTATTGGGGGTGTGGCTATGAGGGTTTGTGGCTATGAGGGGGTGTGGCTATGGGGGGGTGTGGCTATGGGGGTGTGTGGCTATGAGGGTGTGTGGCTATGGGGGTGTGTGGCTATGAGGGTGTGTGGCTATGAGGGGGTGTGGCTATGGGGTGTGTGTGGCTATGGGGGTGTGTGGCTATGAGGGTGTGTGGCTATGGGGTGTGTGGCTATGGGGTGTGTGGCTATGAGGGTGTGTGGCTATGAGGGTTTGTGGCTATGAGGGGGTGTGGCTATGGGGTGTGTGGCTATGAGGGTGTGTGGCTATGGGGTGTGTGGCTATGAGGGTGTGTGGCTATGGGGTGTGTGGCTATGAGGCGCTGTGGCTGTGAGGGGTGTGGCTATGAGTGGGTGTGGCTACGAGGGGTGTGGCTATGATGGGGTGTGGCTATGAGGGTGTGTGGCTATGAGGGCGGGGCTACGAGGGGTGTGGCTATGATGGGGTGTGGCTATGGGGTGTGTGGCTATGAGGGGGTGTGGCTATGAGGGGGGTGTGGCTATGGGGTGTGTGGCTATGATGGGGTGTGGCTATGAGGCTGTGTGGCTATGAGGGGGTGTGGCTATGAGGGTGTGTGGCTATGAGGGGGTGTGGCTATGAGGGGGTGTGGCTATGGGGGTGTGTGGCTATGAGGGGGGTGTGGCTATGAGGCTGTGTGGCTATGAGGGGGTGTGGCTATGGGGTGTGTGTGGCTATGAGGGGGTGTGGCTATGAGGGGATGTGGCTATGAGGGGGTGTGGCTATGAGGGGGGTGTGGCTATGGGGTGTGTGGCTATGATGGGGTGTGGCTATGAGGCTGTGTGGCTATGAGGGGGTGTGGCTATGGGGGTGTGTGGCTATGGGGGTGTGTGGCTATGAGGGGATGTGGCTATGAGGGGGTGTGGCTATGGGTTGTGGCTATGGGGGTGTGTGGCTATGGGGGTGTGGCTATGGGGGGGTGTGGCTATGGGGTGTGTGGCTATGAGGGGGTGTGGCTATGGGGGTGTGTGGCCCTGAGGGTGTGTGGCTATGGGGGGGTGTGGCTATGGGGGGGTGTGGCTATGGGGGTGTGGCTATGAGGGGGTGTGGCTATGAGTGGTGTGGCTATGAGGGGGTGTGGCTATGAGGGGGTGTGGCTATGAGGGGGCGGGGCTATGAGGGGTGTGGCTATGAGGGGGCGGGGCTATGAGGGGGCGGGGCTTACCTTCGGTACACACCACTCCGGCCGCTCCTCGGGGGCAGTCGGTGCTGTCGCTGTGCTGTGGGCAGCGGCTGATGGAGAGCTCCGTCCCCGAGCACTGAACCGCACTGAGCAGCACCTCCTGTGCACTCCCGTCAGCCTCCCAGTACCACGTCTCCTACACCAGCAGCAGCGTTAGTGACCACAGCTCACACTCACACACACACTCACACACACACACTGACACACACTCACACACACACTCACACACACACACTGACACACACTCACACACACACACTGACACACTGACACACACTCACACACACACACTGACACACTCACACACACACACTGACACACTGACACACACTCACACACACACACTGACACACTCACACACACACACTCACACTCACACACTCACACTGACACACTGACACACACACTGACACACACACACACACACTCACACTGACACACACACTCACTCACACTGACACACTCACACACACACTGACACACACTCACACACACACTCACACATACTCAACACTGACACACTCACACTCGCACACACTCACACACTCACACACACACTCACACACACACACACTCACACACACACACTCACACACACACACTCACACTGACACACTCACACACACACTGACACACACTCACTCAGGCACACACACACACTCACACTGACACACACTCACACACACACTGACACACTCACACACACTCACACTGACACACACACACACTCACACACACACACACTGACACACTCACACACACACTCACACAGACACACACACACTCACACACACTGACACACACACTCACACACTGACACACACTCACACACTGACACAGACACACACACACACACTGACACACTCACACACACTCACACACACACACTCACACTGACACACTCACACACACACTCACATTGACACACACACACACACACACTCACACTGACACACTCACACACTCACACACACACACTCACTCACACACACTCACACTGACACACTCACACTCACACTCACACACACACTCACACATACTCACACTGACACACACACACTCACACACACACACTCACACACACACTCCACACACACTCACACACACACACTCACACTGACACACTCACTCACACTCACACACACTCACTCACACACACTCACACTGACACACACACACTCACTCACACTCACACACACACTCACACATACTCACACTGACACACTCACACACTCACACACACACACTCACTTACACACACTCACACTGACACACACACACACACACACTCACACATACTCACACTGACACACACACACACACACACACTCACACACACACTCACACACACACTCACTCACACACACTCACACACACTCACACACTCACACTGACACACAGTCACACACACTGACACACTCACACACACACTCACATTGACACTCACACACACTGACACACACACACACTCACACTGACACACACACACTCACTCACACTGACACACTCACTCACACTCACACTGACACACTCACACTGACACACACACACTGACACACACTCACACACACACTCACACACACACTCACACTCACACACTCACACACACACTCACACACTGACACACACACACACTGACACACACACTCATACACACTGACACACACACAGCTCACTGACACACTCACCCACACACAGCTCAGACACACACGCCCCCCCCCCCCCCCCCGCCCCGCGGCCCCCATCACCTGGACGGCGTGGTTGGCGAAGCCCAGCCCCAGTTGGCGGCAGACGACCATGGCCTCGGTCAGACCCCAGCCCTCACCGCACACCTTCCCCCAGCGGCCGGTGCCGTTCACCTCCACCAACACCTCCACCTGACCCTCAAACGGGTTCCTGCCCCCAGACAGCCGCACCTGCCCCAGGGGGTCAACACAGGGGAGACGTCACACAGCTGGGGGGGGCGGAGGCCAGGGGCAAGGGGTTGGGAGGGAAGGGGAGAGGGGCAATGGGGGAGAGACGGGGGGTGGGGGGGTGGTTGGGGTGTTAGTGAGTGGGTGGGGGGGGGAATGCGAAGAGACGATCAGAACCGTAAACCCCCCCCGGGGAGCGATGCTGATCCGGGATTCCGGGAGACGGGACGGGACTGCAGGAGGAATCCTTGGGGATGGGAGGGGGGAGTGTGGGGGGCGGCGGGGGGAGCCTGACCCTGAGCCGGGGGTGGGGGGGGGTAGACCAGAAGCGAAGAGGAAGGCCTCGTGTCGTGAACGAAAGAGGGGGGAGTGGGGGGGTGGGGGGGGGATTGAGGGAGAGAGTTCCAAAGCATTGGGACGTAAGTGGCTGAAAGCGCGGGCAGTGCTGGTGGGGAGCGCGAGGGGCGAGCAAGGGGGGAGGCAGCGGGCAGCAGAGCGGAGTGGGGTGGGGGGGACGAAAGCAGGTCAGTAAAGTAGGGGGGTGCCAGGGCGCCAAGGGGTTTGTAGACGAGCGAGAGGATCTTGACGCTGATCTGTTAAGCCCTCCCGAGACGCTGCCCTGTGTGGAGGAGGCTGTGTTGTTGGTGTTGTTGATCTCCCTCTTGCCCCCCCCCCCCCCCCACACTGACCTTGCTCTGGAAGCCCATGTGGGGGGTGTTGCAGCGCACGGCAGCGTCCTCGCGGTGACGGCAGGCCGGGCCGCTCTCCTGGAAGCTGCAGTCCGTGACCGACCTCTCAAACCCACTGCAGCTCACCTCGTTCATGTGGATGGGACCCACACCTGGAACCACATAACACAGTCACCAGAGTCACGTCCTTCCGACGTGTCGTGTTGTGCTGCATTGGATCTCACACTCTCCGCTCCCCGCGTCTCACCCACAGCCGTCACATTCTCTTCCTCTCAAGAAAATGTCCAATTCCCTGTTGAAAGCTACGATCGAATCTGCTTCCACCGACCCCTTTCAGGCAGTGCATTCCAGACCGCAACCGCTCTCTGGATAAAATAACTTCTCTTCCATCTCCCTTCTGGTTTGTTGTCAATCATAATAATAATGACGATATAATAATAATCCTTGCCGGATAAGGCACCTAATCACATCGTTGAGACATCCATCTCAAAAGAGCCTCACATAATATACTGTAAAGTTAATTGACTGTATTTTATTTAAATGCTACACACATTGGGTAATAAGAGACGCCTGAACTCAATTTACTTTTACAGCAGAGTTGCTATATAGGATTTATATAAGTTAATTATTTATATCAGTTAATCAGCTAACAGTAATATAACACTGTATATTTTACACCATGCTTTGCTGTAACTCTGAATTTTGCATAGCCATCTACATAATTATTTCACATTGTTTTGTTGTCAAGGAATAATTTACTAAAATCCATTTCTCTAATAAATCCCTCTCTGCTGTTGTTGGTGTGAGAGGACCCGGGTTTGATTCCCAGTCAGGGCCAAACCTTAGGCAAGTCTCCTTACTCCGCTCACCTTGTTTATCTAGCAGTAAGTAGGAACCTGGTTGTTAGTCGATTGACAGTAATTCCTCCCAAAGATGTATTAATAAATAATAATAATTTGGTCACTCAACCATGACTGTTTGTGGGACGCTGCTGTGCACAATTGGCTGCCTCGTTTCGCCCAAAAATACAGTCACGACACTTTACAGTATATTCTGTGGAGCACTTTGAGACGTCTCGAAGACGTGATAAGGCGCTGTATCAAATGCAAGGATTACACTACTATTTCTCGTCGGTTGGCCTGTGCCTCGGTGCGCGTTTCCCCGACCGGCCCATTTACCAGAGAATGGAAGAGAAAACAGGCACATTCCTGTGAATGAAAGGCTTTACGGATGAAAGGAGAGGTCTGTGGTTTGTGGGAACAGCTGAACAGTTTAGTGAGCACGAGGCCAGCTGTGTGACTGATGTTTGCTCAAACACCGCTCGGGACATGTCCCATCCCACAGGCCCTGCTCATCTCTGACCTGCAGCTTCACGGTCGGTAGCGATTGATCATCAGTTTTCCCCAGACATTTAATAAACATTCACACAAACTCTACTCAACCATTAAACCTGTACAGTGTAGGTGGATGTGATTAGGCCCACATGGGCGCTCTCTCCTCTTCCCCACCTCCCCCACCTCCACATACATGAACTCTCTAACCCCATTCCCCGCTCTCTCCCCATCGTGTCTGTGCCGGTGCTCGCTCCCCAAATTTGCCTCCACATTCACCCAATTACACAGTGACTGCATCTTACACGGTAAGGCAGTGAGGCAGTGGGGAGGGGGCAAATAGCACCTGAGGAACCGCACCCCAGAGACCAGCGGGGGGGGAGGGGGGGGAGAAATTAGAAAAGATAAAACCAAATTTATAAATAAAATATAGATCCTGGTGAATGTCCCAAGACTGCCCTTCATCACCCCCATGCCCTGTGCCCTCTACCCTGTGCCCTCTACCCTGTGCCCTCTACCCTGTGCCCTCTACCCTGTGCCCTCTACCCTGTGCCCTCTACCCTGTGCCCTCTACCCTGTGCCTTCTGCTCTCTGCCCTTTGCCCTCCGCCTAGCTGCCGCAGTGTATGTGAGAGCGAGTGTCACTGACCTTGCCCGAGCCGAGCTCCGGTTAGAGCCTCTCTGGCTGTGCCGTACCCTAGCTCCCGGCACACCACACTGGCCGACACCAGGTTCCACTGGTCGTCACACACCGTGCCCCACTTGCCGTTTTTCAGCACCTCCACACGTCCCTCTCCCACCTGCGCCCCACTCTTCAACCGCACCAGAGCTTGCTGTAACAGGGGAGAGACTGAGTCACGGGGGCTCGACCTGCCGCACACGGCACCACCACCAACAACAACAGCTCACACTCTCAGTAGCCAGCACTGTAAAGCCGGCATTAACCTGATCTGTATAAATCGTACAGTCGATTAAATCGTACATCTGCCCGGGTCCCGCTTTGGAGTTTATATTCTACGCACGTTTGATATAACCCATTCTTTGCATCAATCATATTAAATGTAGGGTCATAACTGATGTGATTTAGGTGAGGTTTAAAGTAATAATCCACAGAAAAGGGGACAGAGCGAGGAATGAAAAGGCGTTAAGAGTAGAGAGCTTCAGTGGGCGAGCGAGCCCCAGCACAGACACGATGGGGAGAGCGAGAGAGAGAGCAGGGAATGGGGTTAGAGTAGAGAGCTCGAGTGGGGGAGCGAGCCCCAGCACAGACACGATGGGGGGAGAGAGAGGGAGTGTGGTGGGGGGATCAGTCGTGGCTTACCTCAGCACGGTAAGCTTTCTTGAAGCGGGTGTTGCTGGGCTGGGTGAACTCGGGGCCGGGCACACAGCTGACGATGGCGTGCATGCTGTGTTGGCAAGGATGGGTCTTTTTCCCCGCGGAGAGCTGGAGTTTACAGTGTGAGAGATGTGGCTCATTTCCCTGACACTGCACCTTGTGCACCCAGAAACTCTTCTTCCTGCTCGCGGAGTACAGCCTGGTCACAGACAAACAGCAAGAGAGAGGGTCCTCAGGGTTAAACACGGAGCTGCTCCACACAGGGTTATAATTATAATAATATTGATAATAATCCTTACATTTAATATACAACAACACTCTGCTTAAATATAGCACCCTTCAAGTTCAGTAGCGACCCAAAGCGCTTCACAGTGGCAGAGTCTGACCCTGAGCCGATAAGGATATAACGCATTACCACGATGTCGAGACGCCTCAAAGCTTCATAGAATACACTGTAAAGTGAATTGACTGTGTACTTTGTGGGCGGAACTCAGCAGCCAATTGCGCACAGCGGCGTCCCACAAACAGTCGTGGAGTGAAATGACCACAATATTATTTTATTTTACCACAAGAACGAGATCTGCCATTCGACCAACAGCCAAGTTCCTTCCTATTGCTGGGTAAACAGAAATTTTCCTAAGGTTTCGCTCTGCCCGGCAATCAAACCCGAGTCCTCTCACTTGCGAGGCGAGCGCTCTAACCATTACACACACGGACTTCACACCAAAACGCTACAGGACTCCACAACCTGCTCCACAGTGGGTTAAACGCTGGTCTGCTCCAGGCGGCCCTGGATTTACTCAGTTTAAGCTGTGATTCAGGATGTGCAAGGATTTGGTGAGCTCTCAAACCAGCCTGAACTCCACCGCTCTTCCTTGTAAAAAGTCAGGAGCTGTTTCCCACAGCTTTAAGAGGTGTTAATCTGGAACTCTCTCCCTCCCCCAAAAGGCTGTGGATGTTTGATCCGTTCACGTTGTCTAGACGCAGGTAGATAGATTGTTAAATCAGATTATCAAGGGTATGGGACAAGTGGGGGGTAATTGGAGTTGAGGTACAGATCAGCCATGATCTTGTAGAATGGCGGAACAGGCTCGAGGGGCTGAATGACCTCCTCCTGATCCTATGTTTCCGGCAGTGTAAACAATTTGCCAAACTGCTGACACTTTGAAATGATGATTAAATCTAGATCCGGGTGGAATTTCACCAACGACAACAACAACAACATCTTGCATATATAGGTATAATGTCCCTCATACAGAACGCTGTACAAAAATTCACAACAATGTCTGCCTTTTCCATTTCTTTGCCTTTGGGCCAAAGATTTAGGGTGAATATTGGAGGCGCAGTGGGGAACAGTGCATTCAGACTTAATCAGTTCACAAATCATTTTTTCAGTTAAAGTAATTGCTCTGTTAAGCAGAGTCTGACTGTAAACGATAGTCAGGCAATAAACATCCCCCTCTCTCCCGCTCCAGATGTTTAGTATTTGAGGCTCTGATGATGGAAACCTTGTGTTATTACACGTCGCCATCCCCCCCACCCCAGGCTAAGAAAGGCTTTCTGTTGTCCAAACTCTTCAATGTATTGAACAGACTCGCTGTGAGGAGGTCACTGAGATAGCCACCACCCACCCGAAATTCCACCTAGTGTTAGCCTGCAAGACCACTTTGCCTTAATAATCCAATACAAAATGACATCTGTATCTCTCCTTTCACATCAGCAGGACGTCCCAAGGCGCTGGACAGTCAGGGATTTGGACCCAAGCTGTGAGTTTAGGATAAGGGAGGGAAGAGGGCAGGGAGGGTGGGGGGAGAAGGGTGGTCGAAGAGGATGGTCTTGAGACATGCCTTGAAGGAGGTGAGGGAGGGAGCGAGGCGAAGGGAATGTGGGATGGAGTTCCACAAGGTGGGAGTAGAGATGCTAAAGGCCCAACCGCCGATAGGGACATAGCGAGGGGCGTGGAGGCTGTTGAGCGGAAGGAGCGGACAGGTTGATATGGGGTCAGCAGGTCACAGAGGTAGGAGGACCAAGGCCTTGGAGAACCTTAAAGGTGAGGAAGAGGATTTTATCTTCCATCCTCTGGGGGATAACAATAATCCTTGCATTTGAATATACTGTAAGATGAACTGAACCCAGGTCCTCTCTCTTACGAGGCGAACTCGCTAACCAATATGCCATAGGACTCCTTAAGACTGAAGCTCACACAGTGCAAAATTTCTCAATTAGTCATATTTTGTAGCCTTTTTTTATTTCTAAGACCTGTGCCTCACCCTCTCTGGAATTCAGTGAGCAGACCGCAATTGGAATACTTAAGACACTGGAAAGAGAGGGGGCAGCTACCTGGTCTTGGGGTCCTGAGTCTTCTGGTCCCAGTGTTTCCTGCAATAAATAAATGGTAAAAGATTATTAACAATAATTAATAATAATAATACATGCATTTGGTGTAGCAGCACCTGTCACTTTGGGAGGACGGCCCAAAGCGCTTAAGAATATAAGATCATAAGAATTTGCTGGCGAAGGGACTTCAGTTATCAGGAGAGGTAGAGAAGCCGGGATTATTCTCCTTGGAGCAGAGAAGGTTAAGAGGAGACTTGATAGACGATTTCAAAATGATGAGGGGGTTCGATAGGGTGAACAGGAGAAACTATTCCCACTGGCGGGAGGGTCGGTAACCCGAGGACACCGAGTTAAAACAGTTGTTAAATAAAACAGAGGGGAGGTGAGGAGAAATGTTTTCACACAGCGAGTTGTTGGGATCTGGAATGCATTGCCTGAAAGGCCGGTGGAAGCCGATTCCATAATAACTTTTAGGGCGGGGGAAGTGGGGTTGATCAGGGCTATGGGGAGAGAGCGGGGGAGTGGGGTTGATCAGGGCTACGGGGAGAGAGCGGGGGAGTGGGGTTGATCAGGGCTATGGGGGAGAGCGGGGGAGTGGGGTTGATCAGGGCTATGGGGGGAGAGCGGGGGAGTGGGGTTGATCAGGGCTATGGGGGGAGAGCGGGGGAGTGGGGTTGATCAGGGCTATGGGGAGAGAGCGGGGGAGTGGGGTTGATCAGGGCTATGGGGAGAGAGCGGGGGAGTGGGGTTGATTGGGGCTATGGGGAGAGAGCGGGAGTGGAGTTGATCAGGGCTATGGGGAGAGCGCGGGGGAGTGGGATTGATCAGGGCTACGGGGAGAGAGAGAGCGGGGGAGTGGGGTTGATCAGGGCTATGGGGAGAGCGGGGGAGTGGGGTTGATTTGGAAGCTCTTTTCAAAGTGCGGCACAGACACGATGGGCTGAATGGCCTCCTTCTGTGCTGTATAATTCTATGATTCTATGACCAAGGTCCATCTAGTTCGCCTTCCACCATCCTTGCAGTCGCTTGACATGTTGTGTCCCAAACTATATATTGTATCCCCACAAATTATTTTCTGTATATACTGTGAAGTGAAAGGATATTTTTATATTGCAAAATGCGTCAGCCAACTGCGCACAACAGCGGTCAACACACAGCCGTGCAGTGAGTGACCAATTTTATTTGGGGGATTGTTGGCCTGGACACCGGGAGAGAGAAACTAACTTCTCTTTCTGAATAGCTCCACGGGTTGTTTAACATCCACCTGAACAGGCAGACAGGACCTCAGTTTAACGCAATCTCCTTGCCCCCTCCTACACCTCTGACACCTTATCAACCTGTCCGCTCCCTCCATTCAGCGGGCTCCGGCCCGCTCCGTGCCCCCAGCCCGACCCACCTCACTAACGGCGGTCAGGCCTTCAGCCTCTCTGCCCACACCCTCTGGAACCCAATCCCACATTCCCTTCGCCTCCGTCAAGGCATGACTCAAAACCCTTCTCTTCAGCCGTGCCTCCTACCTGCTCTGCCCACCCCCCCTCCCTGATCCTCCCCTCCCCTCCCCGCTCGGGTCATAACCCCTGACCGTTCAGCGTCTTGGGACGTCCTTCCAATGTGAAACGCACTTTACCAATGTCATATTGTATTGTATTGTCCTCTCTCTGTTCTCCCCATCAGTCACATCACAGCTGGAGAGCATTTTCTAGGAATCCGTCAACGTTCCTGGACTGGATTTGTTGTTCAGAGAAACAAATGGGCCAACAGTCGGTGGGTGTGTGTGTGGATCAAATCAAATAAAATTGCTCACTCCTTGGCTGTTGTGGTACATTTTGCGGTACGTTACCCCCACGAAACCCAAGTCACTACACTTTACAATATATCCTGTGAAGCACTTTTATGACATCCTCCGGGGTGTATTAAATGCAAAGGTTCTTGTTGTGATTTAGAATTATTACTGAGAACGTAAGTGACTGATTGAAAACAAGATCCCCAAGAATCCAGAGAGAAATGTTGAACGGCCACAGATGTAGAGAGGGGGGAGGGGGAGATGGTAAAGATATCCAGGTCTTATGTGGAATCCAGATCGGTGCTCAACTCTTGAAGTGGATTTTCAAAAGAATGTCCTCATCAAATCATTGCCATGTGTGGGCTGTTCCCTCGCCAGGCTCCCAGTGGGTCGAGAGCGAGAGAGAGAGAGCAGGGAGTGTCTCTCTGTTGGGTTCCTGGCCAAACATCCCCCAGGTTACACACCCGCTCCTGGTTGAGGAGACACCGTCTTTTTTTAAGAACCGAAGAATACATTAATATTCATAATAATCAATGAATTTCAGATAGTGCCTTATCACATCGTTGAGACGTCTCAAAGTGCTTCCACAGATTATACCACAAAGTGAAGTGACTGTGCATTTTGTGGGTGAAACTCAGCAGCCAGTTAGTCGCACACCGCCATGCAGTGAGTGACCAATTTTATTTGAGGTATTGTTTACCAGGACTCCGGGAGAGAGAGAAACTCTTCTCTTTTCAAATAGCGCCTCAGGATCTTTAACATCCACCTGAACGGGCAGACGTTCTTGGTTTAACGTCTCATCTGAAGGATAGGCTATAATGTTCAGTTTGGATCCTGAAGGACCCGAGTTGTGGGATTTTCGGTGTGTGAGGGCTCAGGAACGTGCAGAACAGAGTTTAAATATTTTAATTCTTGTTTACGATGTTTGAGCCGTGAGGTAATGGGATTCCTTCACGATCAAAGTGACCACAGAGCAACCTTTTACTAAACTCTTAACCCCATTCCCTGCTCTCTCTCTCTCCCCATCATGTCTGTGCTGGGGTTCGCTCCCCCACTGGAGCTCTCTACTCTAACCCTGTTCTCTTTTTCCTCTGTTATTTTCATCAAACATTGATGCCCTTGTGGTTGCTGGATTTAACAAGTCTGCGGATGGCGTGGGGGCTGTATGTTCTGGTCTCAGGCACTTTGATGCAAATGTTCAGTCCAAATATTTGCTCAGACTGACTGAAAACTGGAAACAAAACTAAACTCGACTCACACTGCGGCTCCACCACAGACCAACCAAATAAACATCTCGAGATTCATAGATTTTCATAGAATGTTACGGCACAGAAGGAGGCCATTCGGCCCATCGATGGTTTAGGAAGCTGACAGCTCATTCCCGGGCTGTACCCCGACCCCCACCAACGCCCTGCCCCGCTTCGTCTCCTCCCCCCGCCCATCCTCACCACCATCCTCCCCAACCTCTCTCTCATTCGTTCTCTTTCTCTGACTTAGTCTCTCTCATTCTCTCTCTCTCTCTCTCACTCCCATTCTCTCTCTCTCTCTCGTTCTCTCTCTCTCTCTCTCGTTCTTTCTCTCGTTCTCTCTCACACTCTCATTCTCACTCTCTCTCACTCTCACTCTCTCTCCCTCTCATTCTCTCTCCCTCTCATTCTCTCTCCCTCTCATTCTCACTCTAGCCCTCTCATCCTCTCTCACTTACTTGTATACCTTGGTGTTGACAGGGAGCTCTGCAGGGAAGCCCAACATGCCACACACTACACGGCTGTTATTCAGGTTCCAGCCGACATCACAGACCTGCCGCCAGCGTCCGCGCAGCCTCACCTCCACGATGCCCTCGGTCAGGGGGGTGCGTCTGCGGGCGGAGGCCAGGACCGCGCGGATACGCACCCCATCCACCGGGTTCCTACCCTGGGGAAAGAGAGAGAGAGAGATAAGCATCCTGTCGGAGATCCCTCCCCCCTCGAAAAAATTTGGTCACTCAATCCACGACTGTTTGTGGGACTCTGCTGTGCGCAATTGGCTGCTGCGTTTCACCCACAAAATACACAGTTACTACACTTTACACTATATCTCAATGACATAAGGTGCTACATCAAATGCAAGGATTATTATTAATATAGCGCCTGCCCACTAAGCCAGGCCGATGCACAAATAATAATTATCATTATTAATAATGGTGCTATAATCAATGGAATTATTATTGATAATTATTATCAATAATAATCATGATATAATAATAATTCTATTTGTTATATTATTGTGTCAATGTAAACTGCTCCATACTGAGCCACTGGTTCGTTCCTATACAAAACACAGTCACTACACTTCCCAGTACTTACCGCAACACGCTTTGAGACGGCCTCATGATGTGAAACATGTGCCTCCCGATGTGAAAGGCGCTGTACTATTGTATTGTATAAGCAGCACAATTCCTATTATGATTATTATTATTAATAATAGTTTGGAAGCCGTTTGCGTTTTAGAAACGACAGGAAAAAAAATGACATCCTCCAGCGTGTAGGGGACACAAATCCCTGAGCCAGACTCCGAGCCGACACTGAGCCTGAGACGGGGAGCAATCTGAGAGCTCTGGTGTTGTCCGTCCGTCTGTCTCCTCCGCACCCCACTCCCCCCACCCAAAAAAAACTGAGTCAAAGAGGGAAAGAGAATGAATGTGAATTTCCGCTGGATCAAGCATCCTGTCTGTTTGACCTTTGCTGAAGGTTGCTGAGGAATGTGAGCGAGGGCTTCAGTCTGAGCTGATCTTTCCGCTCTCTGCTCCCAGTGTCTAGACAGTTCTCATGCCTTTCCCAGCTCACAGACGAGCATTCCTCTCTCCCTGGTCACCAGGAATGAAGGCAGCTTCTATGCTGCAAACTATTTCCGATCCGACTTCAAGACATTCCCATGTCTCCCTCTTTTTTTCTCTCTCTCTCTCTCATTCAATTGGGAAATACATCCTTTCCCGTCTCTCCATTCCCACTCCCCCCACCCCCCGCATCAACCCTCAACCCCCGCGGGAACATCACTAACTTAGCAAACATTTAACTCCGACTTAAAATTGCCGGTGAAATTCCCTGACAACCATCACTTAAACACGTCATTACCCCGTTCCCACTGACAACAACGCAGGACGTTTACACGGAGCCTTTCATGTCAGGAGGACGTCCCAAGGCACTGGACAGTCAGGGATTTGGACCCGAGCGGGGGGTCGGGATCAGGAGGAGGTGGAGGACAGGGACTGTGGGGGTACGAGGGTGACCAAAGGTGCGGTCGAAGAGGAAGGTCTTGAGATGAGTCTTGAAGGAGGCGAGGGAGGGGGTGAAACGAAGAGACATCTGAGATAGTACACACACCCCCACCCCACCACCCGGTCTCCGCAGTAATCAGCGGTTACTAAAGGGACCAGAATGCCCACTTTAACGCGTTGCCAATTTTGTGCTTTCCCCAGAATTCCTCATCCCCGACTGGATGACAAATCTTTCAAAATAAGCGTGTTTTACCAATATTATGAATAATTATCACGAATAACAACAATACAATTGATAGTATTTATATTATTAAGAATATACAAGCAAATGTATGTTATTATTATTTTTATTGTTAATGATGATATAATAATAATCCGTGCATTTGATATAGCGCCTTATATCCTATCTTTGAGATGTCTCAAAGCGCTTCACAGAATATAAAGGGGAGTGACTGTGTATTTTGTGAGCGCTATCACGGATAGGATTATTATTGTATTATTAATATTACGATAATAATTAGCCAATTAATTATATTATTAGATAATAATATTTCTATACTATATTTTAATTATACACGGTACTTACATACTTAGATATAATAAGTTGTATATTATATAATAAGTACATGAAGTTATAGTATAATTTAATACTAATAATCCTTGCATTTGATACAGTGCCTTTCATATCAGAAGACGTCTCACAGGGGTGAAGTGTAGTGACTGTGCGTGGCTGTGGGCTGTCTCTCACCTCCAGGTCCGCGGGCTTGAAATCTCCCACACGCTCAAACCCGGTCAGTTTCTTCTCCGAGCAAACAACGCCCACGTCCTCTGAGTGTTTGCAGTCGCTCACGCCCCACCCGTTAGACCCACACGCTTCAATCGATGTCTCCTCTCCACTGCACTTGACGTTGTCCAGCCAGATAGGCCCTATGTTGGGGGGGGGGGAATGGGGCACACGCATGTGGTCAGTGTCGCTAGGGTCAGAGGTCAGGATAGCCACAACTGCCCATCTCCAACCGTCTCCCCAACACGTGACACCTCCCCCTCCCCAACACGCGTCACCTCACCCTCCCCAATACGCGTTACCTCCCCCTCCCCAATACGCGTCACCTCCCCCTCCCAAACATGTGACACCTCCCCCTCCCAAACACGTGACACCTCCCCCTCCGCAACACGTGCCCTCTCCCCCTCTCCCAGCCTCACCTTCTCCTTGGCCGTATTTGGCGCTGTGAGCCCAGGTCAGAGCGCCCTCGTAGCCCAGTTGCCGGCAGACCACGGCAGCGGCCTGGACGCTGAAGTCGTCGTCACACACAGTGCCCCACTGGCCACTGTAGAACACCTCCAGACGGCCCTCGTGGTGACTCCTCTTCTCCCCCGCCAGCCGCACCCCCACCACGGCCCCCGCCCCAGCCCCCGCCCCAGCCCCAGCCCCAGGCTGCTGCCCCGAGGCCCTCCTGGCACTGCAGGGGTTAAACACGCTGCCACACAGAAGCAGCGCCAGGCAGAGCGGGAACCGGCTCGTCCACTCCATCACTCGCTCTCTCTTGCTCTCTCTCTCTCGCTCTCCACCTCACAGCCTCCTAACCTGAAGCCACAAAAACACAGACAAACCAACATAAATATAACAATAATAATCCTGGCATTTGACGCGGCGCCTGATCACATCGTCGAGACGTCTTAAAGCGCTTCACAGGACATACTGTAAAGTGCAGTGACTGTGAATTTTGTGGGCGCACCAACAGTGGTGGATTGAGTGACCCAATTATTATTATTTTTTCTGGAGGGATTATTACCCCCGTAAAGCAATCCGCCAATCGACTAGCAACTGAGTTCTTACTTACTGCTGAGTAAACAGAGGCTCGGGGAGCAGGGAAACTCGCCTAAGGTTTCGCGGCTCAACCCCATCGGGAATCGAACCCGGGTCCTCCAGTGGGGGAGCGAGCCCCAGTACAGACACGATAGGGAGAGAGAGAGAACAGGGAATGGGGTTAGAATAGAGAGCTCCAGTGGGGAAGCGAAGCCCAGCACAGACACGATGGGGAGAGAGGGAGAATAGGGAATGGGGTTAGAGTAGAGAGCTCCAGTGGGAGAGAGAGCCCCGGCACAGACACGATGGGGAGGGTATGGGGTTAGAGTAGAGAGCTCCAGTGGGGGAGAGAGCCCCGCACAGACACGATGGGGAGGGTATGGGGTTAGAGTAGAGAGCTCCAGTGGGGGAGAGAGCCCCGGCACAGACACGATGGGGAGGGTATGGGGTTAGAGTAGAGAGCTCCAGTGGGGGAGAGAGCCCCGGCACAGACACGATGGGGAGGGTATGGGGTTAGAGTAGAGAGCTCCAGTGGGGGAGAGAGCCCCGGCATAGACACCATGGGGAGGGTATGGGGTTAGAGTAGAGAGCTCCAGTGGGGATGACTTAAACCGCTAGAATTTTTATAACAAAATTAAAAATCTTTTGACGATCGAGGGTTTGTTGAACTTTGGACTAAAATGGAAATTTGCGACATTCCACAAATACCACATGGAATCAGTTACGAAACGTCGCAAATTAGCCCCAAGGCAAGTAAAGTCATAGCTGCACTGATGTCTGCTGGGAGGGGGAGGGGGTGGGCGGGGGTGGAGAACGAGGAGGGGGCGGTGGGGTATTTACTGACCAGATGGTCAATGTAACCAGATAACGCCTCACACGGACACACATAGCCATTCCCACCCACACTGCACAGAGTCAGCAACTCACCACTTAACGGGTCAGTGTTTGCTTCACCTCTTAGCTATTCAAGGGCAGGTCTCAGTACGTGCAGTCACTCACACTCACACACATCATACATACACGCACGTACACGCACAGATATACACACACACATGCACACACATACCCAGATATATCCACACAGAGATATATCCACACACACAGATATACACACACATACTCACAAATACACAGACATACACAGATACACACACACAGATATAATACTAAGAATGCTTGATACATTTGATACAGCTCCCGATCACATCATTGAGACGTCTCAAAGCGCTTCACAGAAAATATTAGTGACTGTATATTTTGTGGACAAAACGCGGCAGCCAATTGCGCACAGCCGTGTCACCCAAACAACCGTGGAGCGAGTGACCCATTTTATTAGGGGAATTGTCAGCCAGGACACCAGGAGAGAGACAAACTCCCTTCTGCTTTCCAACAGTGCTGAGGGGACCTTTAACGTTCACCTGAACAGGGCCCGGACAGGGAGTGAGGTTTAACATCTCATCCAAAGGATGGCATCTCTGACAGTGCGCGTTCCCCCTAACCCCCAGCGCTGCGCTGGAGGGTCAGCCTGGGCTACGCCTGGGGAGGGGCGGGGGACAAACCCTCGGTCACCTCCGGAGCAGCGGCTGGGAGCGCTCGGGGACCGGTTTGTCAATCGTGACTCCTGTTCCGTGCGTCAAACCCTCCCACGGACGCGTGGCCCCTTTAAGGTTGTATCTGGCGCAAAGACGGGAATTCGAGGGATTTTTCCTGGAGTGCGGAGACAGGGTTGGGGAACGCTGGCTCCAGCCCAGCCCCCTCCGCCTGTCATCAGCAGCGTCTGGGGAGCCCGAGCAACCGCTCCTGTTTAATCTGACAACAGCCATGAGCCGTGAGCTCCTGCAGTGTTAACCCATCGGTGGCTGCGACTCACTCCCCCACTCTGTGAGCTCACCCCCCACCCCCAGATGTACTCGCTCACTCACACGCTCGCTCGCTCACACACAACAGCTTGTGTTTATGTTGCGCCCTCACGCAGGGTAGCATCTCAGAGCGCTTGACCCCCCCCCCCCCCCGCGCCCCAATCTCAAGAACTTTCCAGACGGACATCGTTCCCAAAAGCTCCTCCCGTCCCTCGCTCGCCTCACTCACATTTTTCTCTCGTCTCATCTTTTCCAGAGAGAGTGTGTGTGAGACAGAGAGCGAGAGAGAGAGAGAGAGATGGTGAGAGTGTGACAGAGAGACAGAGACAGACAGAGATAAACAACACACAGAACGGAAGACAAAGTTTCTCACACTGTGAGAGTGACAGAGAGAAACTAGGGAGCAACAAAGAGTGGGGGGCGGGGGGGGTGGGAGAGAGAGGGAGAGAGAGGAGGAAGAGAGAGTGGGAGGGGAGAGAGAGTGGCTCACAGAGTGGGTACAAGCCACAGACGCTGGCGGAGGGATGGCTTCCAGGCTCCATATTCCAGCTCCAACCAGGGAAACAGGAGACCATATGTGGAGAGGGTCTGGGGGAGGCAATGACATCAGTCTGTCTGTCTGTCTGTCGAAACAGCAGCCATCAGGGCAACAATGCCTGGGGCACTGGGTGGGGGGACGGGGAGAGAGAGGGCAAAAGAGAGATAGACGGAGAGATAGAGAGAGGGGAAGCAAGAAAAGGAAAGGCGGAGGAGGAGAGAAAGGAGGGGAAGGGAGTCAGCAGACAGCCTCGGGGGAAGCCTACACAGTGATGAAGGATAATGAGGGAAACTCCCAGAGTAACACAGACAGATCAGGGGGAAAGTGAGAGGCAGAGAGAGAGAGAGAGAAAGAGAGAGAAAAAAGTAGAAAGAATTCAAAATCAAACCTTAATCTGAATTATAAGAAAACCTAAAGGACCTGAAACCATAACTAATCTCTTCACTCAACCCACGGCTGGTTGTGGGACGCTGCTATGCGCAATTGGCGTCCGCATTTCGCCCACAAAATACACAGCCACTACACTTTACAGTATATTTTTCTGAAGTGCTTTGAGGCGTCTCGACGGTATGACAATGCGCTATATCAAACGCAAGTTGCATGATTGTTGTAACTAATGGTGTTAGAGGTTTACTTATATAATAATTAAGTGCACAGATCGAGAGAAAAAAATGAATGTAACCTTCCATTACAATGAATGTAACAATGAATGTAAAAAATTGAAAAACCATAAAGGAATCAACCAGTCTTAGCAGTACCGCACAATCGATTATCAGGAGGAGATAACCCGAGAACAACAACAATAATAAAGCAAAGCTTTTTATGAATAGTAGGAATGAAGTGAACAGGAAGGTGTAGAAAACAGCAGTGTGTCTCATCCCAGAGAGAGAGAGAGACACACACACACAATAAACTGTATCATAATCCCTGGCATTTGATACAGAGCCTTATCACGTCGTTGAGACGTCTCAAAGCACTTCACAGGATACACTGTAAAGTGAATTGACTATTTTGCGGGCGAAACCCGGCAGCCAATCGCGCTCAGCAATCTTTTAAAAAAATAGAATTTATATACGTTTCGCCCACAAAACATACAGTCAATTCCCTTTACAGTATATCCGAAGAGGTGATCGGGCGCTATATCAAATGCAAGGATTATTATTATTATTATTATTATTATTACCACATCGCAAGACTTGACCAGAGAAATCTGTCAACGTTTTAGGACAATTTGCTAACAATGCAACCAAAAGGCAATTGGGAAGTTGGTCTAAAAGTTTTCCACCCACACAACAACAACAACAACAACAGTGCAGAGAAAGTTAGTGACACAAAGTGAACGAAACAGACTTACAGCAGCAACAACAGCGACTGAAATGGTCCAGAGATACGATAGAGTTCCTCTCTCACTCCCTCCTTCAGACTGACCTGAGATCAGTGTCCCTGAGAGCACATCAGCCTCTCCCTCTCTCCCTCTCCCTCTCTCCCTCTCTCTCTATCCCTTCCACACTCCTCCTCTCTGCCTCTCCCACACTCTCTTTATCTCTGTTTCTATCTCTCTCTCTCTCTCTCTCTTTCTCCGCAGAAAGGTATAGGGACAGAAAAGTAAATTGTCACCAGAAAATATGGATGAAAAAAAAAGTAGTTGTTTCGATTCGATTAATCCACTTTGTCTGTGTGGGGGTCTCTGTGGGGGTCTGTGTCTCTCTGTGTGGGGGTCTGTGTCTGTGTGTGGGGGTCTGTGTCTCTCTGTGTGGGGGTCTGTGTTTGTGTGTGTGTGGGGGTCTGTGTCTCTGTATGTGGGGGTCTGTGTCTGTGTGTGGGGGGTCTGTGTCTGTGTGTGTGTGTGGGTCTGTGTGTGTGGGTCTGTGTCTGTGTGTGGGGGTCTGTGTCTGTGTGTGGGGGGTCTGTGTCTGTGTGTGTGTGTGGGTCTGTGTGTGAGGGTCTGTGTCTGTGTGTGTGGGGGTCTGTGTCTGTGTGTGTAGCGGTCTCTGTCTCTCTATATGATCTGTCTCTCTCTGTATGTCTGTGCCTCTCTATATGTCTCTCTCTCTCTGTACGTTTCTCTCTATGTGTATGTGTGTCCCTCTGTATATAGGTTTACTTCTCTGTCTGTCTCCCCTCTGTGTGTGTGTGTGTGTCTGTGTCTGTGTGTGTATCTCTGTGTGTGTGTGTCTCTGTGTGTGTCTCTGTGTCTGTGTGTGTGTCTCTCTGTG